TCTCTCCAACTTTACAGCTCTAAGAGTCTTTATCAATTTCGGTATTTTCAGTCTCTCTTCATGCTAATGGTTTTTATATCCCTTTCATTAACGTCCTTCCTTCCTTCCTTGCCTCCAGCCCACAGAAAGATAATAGTGTCCTGAGAAGCTGATGCTCCATATAGACTAATATTTATCAGCCCCATAACTCTTAGCATAGTATCTCTGCATACTTTGAAGGTGCTGGTAACAGTGGCAGTGGTGGTTGTCAAGATGAGTAAGAAGTAGTATTTCTCAAGGGTGGAGACTGTATCTAATTCATGTTTGGTTTTGTTTTTGGTTTTTTGGGTGGGATTTTTTTTTTTTTTTAAGATAGGACCTTACTCTCTTGTTCAGGCTGGAGTATAGCAGGGTTAATGTAGCTTACCTTGACCTCAAGCGATCCTCCCATCACAGACTCCTGAGTAGCTGACTCTACAGGGTTATGCCACTGCGGCTGGTTAATTTTTACATTATTTATTGTAGATATGGGGTCTCAATATGTTGTCCAGGTTGGTTTTGAACTCTTGGCCTCAAGTGATCCTCTTGCCTTGGCCTCTGGAAGTGCTGAGATTACAGGCATGAGCCCTAATTCATGTTTTTGTTAAATCCCTCTAAGTCCTAGAGAAGTTACATTATGATTAAAGATATCTTGAAACCGAAGTCTCTATGAGTGACTGTACTAAAACTTTTTCCTCTAATAATCCTTCCCATGCACTGAAATTTAAAGCCCTAGTTTTTAAAGCTCCAGTTTCTTGCAATCTATTAGTCAATTTTAAGAAACCAAGACATTAACTAGAGACGAGTGGATCAAAGGAAGTCCTCTTTGCTGGTAGATAAGTGCCTACGTGTACTGTTGAAGGTACACTGAGGTCATACTTAAAAGTTGACATTCCATATTTGGTACAAAGCACTGTATGTCTAAAGATCACACCCAAAAGTTCTAGAAAAGGCTAGAGTATGCATTTTATGGAAATATAGGTATAATTGCCAAATTCTTTTCTTTCCCTGGAGCAAATGCCACTTTACTTTTTAGCTAAGCTAAAGAGCTCTCATCATATTAAAAGTAATTAGAGATGATACAATGAAATTTTTAGTGTTAAGAAAATTTGGTGGCTTGGCACCAGTCACATACACCTAAGGTGACGGGTTCAAATCCAGCCCAGGCCCGCCAAACAACAATGCCGGCTGCAACCAAAAAATAGCCGGGCGTTGTGGCGGGCACCTATGGTCCCAGCTACTTGAGAGGCAGAGGCAGGAGACTCGCTTGAGCCCAGGAATTGGAGGTTGTTGTGAGCTGTGATGCCATGGCACTCTGCCCAGGGGGACAGCTTGAGGCTCGGTCTCAAAAAAAAGAAAATTTGGTATTGTTTTTATAGTAAAGATTTATATAAAAACTTTGATTTCTTTTATAGGTGCCAAAAAACGTTCTGAGATCTATGAAGCATTTGAAAACATCTATTCTATTCTAAAAGTCTTTAAGAAGGGCTGAGTATATCACTCACACCTTATATCATACCAGGTTGAATATGTGCATAAGCCCAGCACAGAAATAGCTGGATTCTTCTATATCTAATTGTAGATGCTCCAAAGTATATATTTTTTGGTTTTTTTGTTAATGGGTAATTCTATGTAAGTAACCATGCTTAAGAAATGAAGAAAATTTGTTGCTCAAAATGACTCTTGTATGTAACTTAAAAAACTGATCAAGTAAATTTATTTCAGAATTAAAGAGAGCTGTGCTGGAATGAATGGTAGCATCATTAAAACTTAAGGCTCTGGCTCGGCGCCTATAGCTCAACCGGCTAAGGCGCCAGCCAC